TTAGGTGACCAAAATATCTGAGCTTGAGCTTCATTATCGATCCTTCCAATGAGCAATCAGGGTTGATTTCCTTTAAGATTGAGTTGTTTTTTAGATCACAGTTAATATATCTATGACATTCCCATTATCTCTGTTTACCAAGGATATTTTTTGTCACCAATTCCCACATCTGTATGTTGCCTTTGAAAAAGCTGAACAAATGGAACAAAATGGTAGTTGGGTAAAAATATTTTTTTCTGAAGGTAAATTACCGTAAATCAAAGAAGCTACCAGAAGTCTGAAAATATGTCATCTTCTGGGAGATCTTTGTGCATTGCAATCCTTAAACTAGGCAAAATTGGTTGAATGGATTTGCTTTAACCTTGGTGCTTGCTGATAAGTGCAAATGGCTTTTTCAGAGGCATGAAAGTTCCACACTTCTCACTAAGGATTAGATTGGCTGAATTTGTTTACCATTTGAATGTCATAATCAGAATGGTTATACAGGGGTCAGGGTGGCATTGCATATATTCTCAGTTCAGATGTTTTGCATATTTGGACAAAACAACTATTAATTAAATAGCACCTGTAAGAAGTGGACATTCTGATTGCAAACTTGTATAGTATTAAATGAGGATAATATATTAACATCTAGAATGTTCTGAACCTGGCAGTCCAGAATTCTATTAAGTAGGGAAAAAAGGACATTTGACCCAAGAATTTTGGATGGCTCCACAACAATATAAAGATTTGAAATAGTCAAATCAGGTGCAATCCCACTCTAAATTGTGGGATGATACAGCAATGAGATTTTAAAATGTTTTATTATATTAACTTGGGAATCTAGATATTTATCTGATAGGTTAAGGGCTATTTTTGATTTTACTGTCTTTGCTTTGGGGGAACTTCCAGAAGCAACGATTTGACTGTGGTCTAGAAATGATAATCTTGGAATTTGGAGAGATATGTAATTGTTCTCAAATAAATTCCATCTCATGAGAAATAAGGTAGTTGATGATTTGTGTGCCTTTTCCCCAGCACATCCTTTCTCTTTATGGTTTTCCCATGGAAGTGATGCCAGATATCTTGCATGAATAAAGCATTGAAATCAGCAGAAAGAGTTAAAAAAAGCAAGCAAGCTATTCAACGCAATAGAAAAATAAGGCCCTGATTAATCAGTTAATTTTTAAGTTAAACTGATCAAAGTTCGGTTCATGGGGTGATATCCAGATTTAGCTATGCTGAGGATAGTTGGCTAAAACAACTGGGATCTATTATCAAAGGCTAATTGGCCTTATTGAATTTAGTCAGTCTCCTCTCAGTAAAACTTGCCATTAAATAATCTGTGCTAAGTGGAATAGTATTAATAAAATGATCTGTAAAAATTCTTTTTCTAGGGACCTCTAGAAAAGTCACTACAAAACTACTTGGGTTCAGAAAGACAAAGGAAAATCGAGCTCAAGGTGTCTGAAATTAAGAACAGTACACAGGCAAGTTATTATAGTTGGCCACCATACATCAAATATCAAAAATCCAACATAGGGCCACCAATAAATCTTATATGGCTTAACTGTGATGATAATTTGAAACTAGATGCACAGATACAGAAGAATGCGATGATAATATGATGGAAATTGGACTGCTGCCCTTTCGAGGTACAAGGGAGGTATGCCTCATTTAAATGTCCCCATTCAGAGTTATGACCTGAGAACCATGATATTAATATATCAGGGGTAAAAGGTTTCACAGCGGCCGTATCCCAGTACCTCAGAATGCCATCCGCTTGTTCTCTGCATGCATGGATGATGCCCTTGGGCGCTGACTAATTAATCCAAGGCGAGGAAGGGCTTCTTCGGAATTATGAACCCCTGCAAAATCCTTTTAAATATGCAATATTTTTGAAGAACATTTAATACCTTGCTCTATACTTAACTGTTGTCACTATCAGATACTGCTTTATAGCAGGAAAAAAGTGTATAATTGTTGGATAATGCTTTGCTTGTCCACCAAGTATTTTCAGGAGATACCACCAGGGTGGAACGTGATTGCGGAATGAATTTACAATAGCAATCCGTCTTGCATCTATTTCTTTGCATTAACTAACAGCATTAGCTCCTTCTCTAGGAATAAAACTTCACTTATCTGTCAAGGGTGTGCCATGGACCACAATGGGGGTTGATAAAGTGTCTGACCAGAGATTTCTAAAATCTGACCGTTCTCTCATGGAATCCAAAAAGAAAAAAAAATGTGATAAGATTTCTACAATGATCAGTGAGAGAGAGATTCCTTTTCTGTCTTTAATTTCTGCTTTCTCCTGGGAGCATACTTGTGGGGGTCCAAATTGCCAAGGAAAGTAAACACTACATCTATTCAAAAGAAATAAGATGGTAATAGTTGTGTTATTCAAATTCCTGATAATTGTCCATTAAATAAATAAATAAATCTGTTAATTTTTAATTTAAACTGATCAAAATTCCTATGTGGTTCATGGGGTGAAATTCAGATTTAGCCAGGGATGACTGGTATTTGTTACCAATGACTAATCAGTCTCATTGAATTCACTGGTCTCCTCTCAGTAAAACTAGATTTTTCCCATGAGTTTTACCTTTTGATGAAAAACAAAAGAGAAATTAAGACTGCAGTCCAGTGCATGCTTATCTAACCATAAGCACCAGGGAACAAATTGGAACTCACTTTTGAATAGACATGCGTAGAGTGCACGATACATCTTGCAGCCTTAGTAATAAATATGTGATACAGCATGATACACTCAGTGTAATAAGCCACAGTTTACTTAACAGTGTTTTGTTAAATAAACTAAAATTGGTTGAGTTCACACAACATGCTAAGCCATAAACCAAGGGTTATAAATCAAAAGAAAAACTTGAATTCACAGAACATGCTGGGTAAAAATTAATCCGCTTTTTGGTTTAGTATGATTTGTAATCCCAGCTACTTTTCCCACCAAGGTAGCAGACACTAATTGTGGAAGTTCCATTTCATTTAGGACAAACTGCAGCTTTGTTATTGTTTGCTATATGCTATGGACTATATTAGATTCACTGACTACTAAATGCATTTAATCTAAAAACAGCTGACAGAACAAGATGTCAAATATTCAGAAGATTTGCAAGAGGAGTTTGATTTCAGATTTAAAACTATGCACAGCATAGGTAAGCTTTCCCACACAATGCTATGAAAGAAAAATGTTGGTTTTAAATCTTGAATATATGTAAAAATTGGCTGTTAGTCCTGTACCTAGGCGATATGTTTTCATTAAACATTTCACTGTCTTCTTTTTGGTGAGGGGCAGGATTTGGTTAAGACTCATGCTTCTACTGATACATACTACCTCCAAAGTAAATTCCAAGTAAAGCGTGACTAACATCTTAGCCTAAATGCATTCTTTAGGGCAGGTAGCAAGGTCCAGCAAAAGATTACTAAGACTATGCTCCTCTGCATTTTTATCTGAAGCTACTGGTATTTATTTATGTGTGAAGATACACCTTCATTTTCTAACAATTTAATCTTGAAGAGATGGTGACTGTAATGCTTTCCATGAGTAATTCTTTACTTTTTTAAGTAAAAGGAACTCCAGAAGGCTGCAGTCAGGCCAATGGGGGAAGGAAGATTCTTTCATTATTGTTGACATTTGTTTTATTTTGCTTCATTTTTAATGTTGTATGTTTTTAGGGTCATTTTTGTTTGTTTTGGAAATGCTACCCAAAACTATAGCATAGTCTGCATCCCACAGACCTGTGGTTCCTCTCATCTCTTCTCATCCCTCCTGTGAGATGCAAAATCAGGGGTAGTTTTTAATGGGATTCTTTATGTATTTAACAGCAGTTATATACTGCCCCAGTATAAAAGATTCTGGGCTGGGTACACAAATGGCTAGAAGGGAAAATGTGAATTTCCAGCTGTAACAACCCTAAGCTGTTTTTTAATTTAAATAAAATGACAGGAAAATACATGGTTATTTAGGAGTTCCATGTAGTTTGTCTTTTACTATGGATGGTTCAATCCTAACTAAAGTTAATGAATTCTTAATGATAAACATATGAACATGTGTTCATTTCTCTGAATCACCCTATTTGTAAGTAGAAACAGACCTCCTTCCATATTTGCATGCTCCAAAATGCATTGGCTAGGAGAACCATAATAGGTTTTATTCCTTCAGAAATTCAAAAGGACTTTGGAGAGAAGAGGTCCTTAACAATCTTCTTCTTAAGGTCTTCTTGTTCAAAAATGTCCTCTCCAACCTAGGTTTATTCCTCACTGAGGAAAAGTGGCAGGACTCCTGGACTGAAAAACAGCTGAAGGCTAGTCATTATTTGAAAAAAAAACATTTAATTTTAAAATCCATAAACTAAACTAAATATTCAGAATAATATTGAAAGGATATTAATTTTGATTGATGCTCACTCCTTTTTTTTTATGAACTTTGACAAAATAAGACATAACACATTAGATAGCATACCATAATATATTTATAAACTTAGATGTACATGTTTATGTTTACCTATCATTGTTTGTAGGTAAAGTAAACGTGTAATAAGAAAAAGTGAATGTCAGACATGCTACTTTAAAACTGCTTCCATACGTTATTTTGATGGGTTCCTATGCTTTATACATATTCTTTTTGCATCTCCTCTTAGAACAGAATGACAAAAACAGTGTTGTCATGAAGCAGGAGATGCTGATGTTGCAGGAAATGCTCAATACCATCGACTACAAGCGAAAGGTTGGTTCAGTTGTTTGTCAGTTATATAGTCTGTTGAACTTAAAGGCACTATGGAAGGTCCTTTTTCTAGTTACATATCAAGTAAGAGGTAATTCCAAATTAATACAAAGCCAATACGAGTAGTTCTTAAAACTGGACCGTGGTTATAAGAACTCGTTATTGGCCTTTCATTAATTTGTTTTTGAAAATTCAAGAAAAGATCACAAAAATTGTTCCCTCTGTTTCTGATGCTCAGAGATGTCCAAAGATGTTATCCTCATACGAGAGGCTCAGGGCAACTCCCAGTAAGAACTGAGCATGCTCAAACTCTCATAGAGGAACTGCGGGGTGGGGGGTGGGGGGGGAGGAGCATAGCAGAAGTCTTTTCACAACACTGAAGCAAGGCCTCATTTATTGCCACCTAATAGCCAATACTGTCATGTCTACATTTAGATATACTGTACACATATATTGCAATATATTGTTGTTTGATAGCTATACTACAACAAATCTCAAATAAGAACACAGTACATTAAATGTTTAACTGCTATACAAAATAACTGGAGGATTTAAAAGATATAGAATTACTAGACACTTCAGAACCAGAAGTCAAACTTTTTTTGATTGGGGCTATCCTTTTCCTCAGATTAGTTTTGGACTTCAAAGGCTGTAGGAGGGATATAGTGATGACCAGGTCATGTTGCTACAGTGGGCATAGCTGTATTTTTTGGCCTGGTTGGGAATGTTTTCAAGGATTTTCAGGGATTTTCTTTGCAGAAAATAGATAAGGTGATCCCTTCAGAGCTTAACCTACCTCTTCCACTGCTTAAACTCAAAAAGAAAAGAAAAGAACAATTTTTGCTGCTGAATTTCAACAGCATGATGCTGGAGTGCTAGTTACTTTCATCAGAAGATTTCCTAAATATTTTGTTTTTCCAAATGTTTTGTTTAGCAATGACAAAATCATTGTTTTGAAATCTTCAACATGTATTTGCTTTGAAAGCTTAGGTTTGTTTGTTTATTTGTTTATTTAATTTTTATTTATTAAATCACATTTATACAGCTGCCCATCTCACAAGAAGCAACTCTGGGCAGCATACAACAATCAATAAAAACAACAAATATATATAAAAAAACAGTCATTACAAAATATAAACATCATTATTAAAAGTGGAAAAACTATAAAACATTTAAATATATAAACCACATATACAAGATCAACCACAATGGAGTCATCAAAACTATAAAACATTTAAATATATAAACCACATATACAAGATCAACCACAATGGAGTCATCAAAACTATAAAACATTTAAATATATAAACCACATATACAAGATCAACCACAATGGAGTCATCTAAGAACATCTCCAGTTTCCTGGGACCCCCAGGCCTGGTGATATAACCAGGTCTTGAAGGACTTCTGGAATGATAACAGGGATGGAGCTAATCTCACTTCCGGGGGCAGCGGGGGAAAAAGTAGCAAACCAGTTTGGCAACTTAAAAATTCAGAATAAAACTTCAGGAGATAGTGTTATCTGGACAGAGCA